GAGGAAGGACTGGAGCCCTTCTAAGACTGTAGGTTAGGACATGGGAGGCATTGAGACCCACCAAAGAACATAGGAAAGCCATGAACTTCATTGTTGATATTGAAAAGCATTGAGACATGAGGATATGCTGGGAAAGACCCACAATCCCACTTAGACCCTGATGGAGGGCTTGAACATCACAGTAACCCTATTGAAGGCCTTTTGCCTAACAGAAGTTCTGGGGAGGAATCTGGGACCTGTCAACCTAAGGTGTGGTCCTTCACCTTTCTAAAATCTGAAGAATAGTCTCAACACCATTGAGACAACAATGAGTGAAATTAACAACTCTGACACTCTTGGTGAAGCCTCTTCTAAACACTGGGTAATATTTCACACATCATGAACACCCTGTGGAACATTCCAAACATGACTGAAATTCTGGGGACGGCCTTGAGCCTTTGAGAGATTAGGGGGCAAAAAAATCTCAACTGGATGCAGAAGGAAGGAAATGAGAACATGGAGACACTTTGGGAACAACATGAGCATGACTGTCAGACAGGAGGAAACTATGAAACCCACTGACATCCTGAGCTGGCACCCACAATCCACTGAATCAGTACCAGAGTAGATGAGCTTTCTTAGTAACCTAAAAAAAGTCCTCAATTCCCTTAACAACAATTAGAAATAAGTGAAGACCCTCAATGCCAAAAGACACATTTGAAGGCCTTTGAATCACACAAACTCAAGGAAAGTATCAGTAGACATCTGAAAGTCTCTGTACAGAGGTGAGTTACATGGAAATCCTGGAGATTTTGCTGAGAACTACAGATCTATTGTAGAAGGCCTTGGAGTCCACTAAACAACATGGGAAAGCCATGAGCTTCATTGTTGATCTTGAAAAGCTCTGAAACACAAGGACACCCTGGCAAAGTTCCACAATCCCACTTAGACCCTGGTAGAAGTTCTCAACTCCACTGTAATATACTGAAGATCTTTAGCATCTCAGAAGACTAGGGAAATAATTTGAGACTTAATAATATCTGAAATATCCAAAAAGACCCTGGAAAATAACCTGATCCCATGTAAGTTACTGTGGAGAGCACTGATCCAGAATGAGACCCTGGAGAAAGCCCTGAAATTATAGTAAGAAATATGGGGTAGCCCTGAGTGCCAGTGACACAATAGGGAATGCCTTGTGCACCATTGTGAAAGTGGGAATATCTGTATGTTACAATGCCACACTGGGCAAGGCTGTATTCCTCAGTGAGATATTAGTAAAACCATCTCCCCCTCCCAAATGCTGTGGAAGAATTGGAGTACCACTAAATATTGTGCAGAGCTCTTAATACAATAAAATAGCTAGGGTAGGTCTTAGGCCTCACCAAGATTCTTGGGAAGACTGAGATACTCAGTCAAACTCTGGGGAGGATGCTGAGTATCTTCATTTGCAGCTGTGAAGCTGTAAATGGCACATAACTCCACAGAGACACTGGGCAAAGTACTGGGATTCATTGAGAATCCCTGAATGCCCCTGAATCCAGTGTTTACTTTGTAAGATTCAGAGACTTTCTTGAAGCTGAGAAAAGCACTGAGCATCCTCAAGATTTTGAGAATAGCTCTGAGCCTCATGGTCAAACATGAAATAACAGACACTCTGAGGTTGGCTCTGAAACATAGTGTTCTTCTGCAAAAAGCAGTGACATCAATTGAGAATCTTAAAAAGACCCTGAGCACATGGAAAATTGTGAATGGTGCTGATCTGTACTGAGAATCTGGGAAGGCACTGAGATTACTGAGACTTTGGGAATGTTGTGCACAAATCTGTCAACCTAAGGAAGGGCCCATCACCTTCCTAAGAATATGAAGACTATTTTGAACACCACTGAGATCACAGTTAATAGAATGAACCAATTTGAGACATTTGTAGAAGCCCAGAGCATCTTTTAAACACTGGGCTATATTTCATGTGCCATGAATAAGATATGGGTTTTTCTAAACAACAATAAAATTCTGAAGAAGACCTTGAGCATACCCCTAAGAATCTAAGGTATGCCCCGAGGTGCACTGACACTTGGAAAGACCCTGAGCCCCTCTGAAACATTGAGTGTCATGAAGATTTGGGGGTAGGCCCTGATCATCAATGTAAACTGGAAATACTATGGATTTACTTAGTACTTCAGAAGACAATGGCATCACTAAGACTCTGCAGAAAACCCTGGGCACCACTGTGACCCTGAGAAATGCCCTGATACTCCGTAAGGCTCTCTGTTTTCTCTGTGAAAATCTTTGATCCTGGAAATGGCAATAAACTCAACTGAGAACATGGAAAATGTGCTGAGATTTACTGAGACCTTGACAAACACTATGAACCCTGTGTGTCTTTAGGGAATTATCTAAGCCCAGGTGAGAGTCTCAGCACTGAACATGACTGAGACTCTACAAAGGCCCCAAGGAAAACTGAAAGCTTGGTAATGGTCATGAGTTCCACTGAAGCCCTGGGTTAGATCTTCAGCTCTTTGAATAACTGGGGAACATCATGAAACTCACTGAGGAGGTGGGAATGTCCAAGAGCTCAACTGAATAAACGAGGGAGGAAAGAAGAACACTAAGACTCTGAGGAACTCTCCGGGCATGACTGTGAGACTAAAGGAGTCCATGAAGAGACTCTGGACAAAACCCTTCAATCCATGAATCAGTAGCAGAGTCCATGAGCCTCCTTTGTGACCTACAAAATCCCTGAATATCAGTGATACACTGAGAAAATCCCTGAACACCAAGAAGAAACCAGTGAAGGCTCTGAATGCAAAAAGACACTTTGGAAGACCTTTAAATCACACAAACTCATGGAAACCATCTGAACACTCCTGAAATTTAATGGCTATTCCTGAGATTGTTTTAATGAATTCCTGAGGTTGTTCTGAGAATTACACATAAACTGTGAAGGCTTTGTGGTTCTAGAAGGATAATTGGGAGACACATGAGCTTCATTGTTGAGCTTGAGAAACATTGAGACACAAGGACACACGGGGAAAATCTACTACCCCATGTAGTCCATGGGGGAGGCCCTGAACATTACTGTAAATCATTACTGTAATTACTGTGAGTACTTTAGCCTCACAGAAGCTCCAGGGAAGAATCAGAGACACGTCATACCTGAGATTTTCAAAGGGGGCTAATGACTTCCCTGAGTCCCTGTAAGTCATTGGGGAAAGCACTGAGCCAGATGGAGACTGGGGAGAATACCCTGAGCTTACACTGAGAAACACAGGCTAGCCATGAGTGCCCCTGGCACAGAGAAGAAGGCCCTGAGCATGACAATGATGATGGGAATATGTCCATATTCTACAAATATGAAGAATATTTCAAACCCCAATGAGACCTCAGTGAACAAAATCTATGAAAGTGAGATGCTTTGAAAAGACTAGAGCATACTTGGAAAACTGGGCAATAGGTAAATCAGTACAAGGAAGACTAGGTCAACATCTATAAACAACACAGAAATCACAAGAAAGTTCTAGAACTCTCTGGAGTGTCTGGGGTAGGTTCTGAGACACATGACAATGCAAAAGACCCTGAGCTTTTCTAAAATGCTCACTGTCAAGACCCTGCAGTAGGCCCTGATCATGCAAGTAACCTGGGAAGACTACAGGTTCTTGAGTGCCTGGGAAGGCAATGGCACCAGGAAGATTCTGCAAAGAAACTTTGAATATCACAGTGACCTTGAGAAATGCCCTGAGGCGCACTAAGACTCTTATCTGGACCAGAGATACATGGTGATCTTTGTTGAGCAATAAAGTCCACTGAAAATCTTAAGAAGATGCTGAGATTGACTTGACTGACACTGTGGCAAAACCTCTAAAACCAGTGTATCTTTGAGAAACTACTCAGCCATGGTGACACTCTGGGAATAGCACTGAAAATGACTGAGACACTACAAGAGGCCCTAAAAATTATATGAGAGTCTAGTAATGACCATGAGTTCCACTAAGGCCCTGGGCAAGTCCTTTGACTCTTTGAAAACCAGAGGAGCGTCCTAAACCACATTGAGATGTGGGGAACCATCAAGAGTAAAATTGCATGCACAGTCAATGAAAGGAGAACACTCAGACTCTGGGGGAGCTCACAGAGTATGACTGTCAGACTGGAGTAGACTATGCAACCCACTGAGATGCTGGGCAAGAATGCACAATTCAAGGAATCTGTACCACTAACCATGAGCTTCCTTACTCACCTGCAAAGGCCCTAAATTTCAGTGAAACAGTTGGGAAAGCCCTAAATACCAATTAGAAACCAGAAAAGGCCCTGAAAGCACAGAGACATTTCTGAAGGCATTTGAGTCACTCAAACTCATAGAAAACTGGTGATCTCACCTCATACTAGTATAAAATCCAGAGTCACACTGAAATCTAAGACACTGTTCTGAGACACTGTGCAGGGCACTGAGGCCCACTAAAGGACAAGGAAACCCCAGGAGCTTTATTGTTGTCCTGGAAAACACTAAAACACAGGACACCCTGGGAAAGACCCACAACCCCACTTTGATCCTAGTGGAAGCTTTGAAACCTACTGTCAAGCTATTTATTGAAAGCCTTTAGCCACTCAGAAGCTCAGGAGAAAAATCTGAGTATCAATCATATCTGAGTTCCCATTAAGGATCTCAAAGAAACCCCTGAGCCCCTGGATGTCATTTCTCAATACACTGAGCCAGACTGAGACCCTGGACAAAGCCCTGAGCTTACTCTCAAAAGCATGAGGGAGCCTGAGTGCCACCCATGCAGTGGAAAATGCCCTGAGCCCCACAAGGACAATGGGAATATCTCTCAGTTACAATGACACACTGGGTAAGACACTATTTCCTATTTAAAGTCTTGTGACACCCCTTGTTTTCTCAGAATGCTGTGGAAGAACCTGAGCACCACTAGATGGCGTGCAAAGCTCTTCAATCCACTGATATAGTAGAGTTGCCCTAGGTGTGACTAGAATTTGGGGGAAGGCTGAGACACACATTCAAATACACTCACCTCTGGGGAAGATGCTGATCCATTCTGTGCTTCTGCAAAAGGCACGAGTCTTCTCAGAGACCCAGAGAAAGCCCTGGGATTCACAGAGCAAGGCTCAAGTTCCATGGGCCCAGTGTTTCCTGGGAAGATTCAGAGACTCACCCTGAATCTGAAAGAAACTCAGAGTAAATGGAGATTCTGAGAAGAGAGCTTTCATAGACATATCATGCTCTGTCGAGTCTCATGACTAAACACTCAAGGTCACTTCAGTTGAGCTGTGCTGCATGAAATAACCACAGAGAGGCAGAGAAATACCTTTTTCTTTGGGTTCTGCAATGGCTCCTGCAATCTTGGGGTCTGTGGAAAAAGAGAGAGCAGCACAGGTTGAACCCTTTAATTGGGAAGAAGCCATTCAAATGAGACAAGGGGTAGGATTACAAGGGAACAGGTGAGTGTAGCTCAACTGCTGTTCACATGGGTAGCTTAAGGTCACTCATGTGAATTTCCAGGGACACCAAAGAAAACACAGACACACACTTTACCTTTGATCAAGCTTCAGATGGTCTCTCCACTTTCTACCTCAGGCTCCCAAATGGGAGAGCAAGAGAAAGTCAAGAGCGGCTGGTGAGAGAGCATATTGAGAAGTGGGCTTTTATTGGGGGACCGACATTCTTAGAAAGTTCCATTCAAAAAAGGTCAGAGGTGGCAGGGTTACAAAGGACATGTGAGTGTAATTCAACCCAAATGGCCAGGGGATGACATGCTTATGTCTGAAGACATGCTTTCAAACTTCCAAGACCAGAGCAACATCCAGGTCACTACGATATGTAGTGCCAGTCAAAGCATCTCCCCTCCAGGATGGAAGGAGCAGATCATTTAGAGTGGCTCCCCACACTCAACCCTTCTGGGTTCTACCTACTCCTTGGGCTACTCCCAGGGCCATGCATTATTATCCAACCATGGGAAAAGGTGGAGTACTTGTCATGACACTGCTGCCTCAGACTACAGTGATATTTCAGGTCCCCATGGTGCATCAGGACTAAAGGTGCCTGAACAAATTCCCTATTTCTTAATATTTAAAGGCAATTGAGGTATTGTACATTGTAGTCACTGGATTCTTGGTCCAAGGTCATCATAATCTACTATTGAAACACAGAAAGAATTAGTAGAAAACATATCATTTCAATAATATAGTCAACTTGCAAGATCCAAGGTTATTATTATTACTCTGACAAACATTCATCAGATTTTTAATCTTTTATCAATTTTATTGGGAAGCATTGCATTTAGCCATAGTAACACCGATATATTTAATTGGCATAGCATTTAAGCCTATCCACAAACCACAGAGCAGAAGGCTCATTTGCATTTGCATTATTCAGTATATTGTCTTCCAGAGCATTTATCTGTCTATGAAGAATCTTTGAAGTAACTTAAGTCAATTTTTAAGAAAATTCAAATGTTGTAAGTTTAAAAAATAGTCATAAAGACTATAATTAGAGAAGCAAGGAATGATACTTAATGTAGTAACTTCAAGGATTGTGAGATCAGGAGATTCCTAGGTCTGGTTAATTGGCATGCCCGTGTTTCAAAGCCTGAATGTTAACTTCAGCATATTATAGGTCTGAAATATTAGCTGTCAATAACTAGTGATATAATAAGATAAGTTGTATTCTTACAGGCTACAGGATATTCATCATCCTTTCAGTTAATTCTTACATTTAAGGAGTTTTTCTTAGGTCTGTCAGTAATGTAAATATTTGAAGGTAGAAGTCAAACATCAAAACATCTTTTTGGATGCCAACTCACTGAGGGTTAGGTTATTACCAATAAACCTCCAGGTGTTATGGCATCCTTGCATAATCAGCTTTGTCTATTCTGGGAGACCAGTCTAAAATATATCCACTATTTTTAGATGTCTTGTGTTGAACTGGCAAGACATTTGCACAATCTATTGACTTAGGTGTGAATTCCTATTGTAGAATGAGTAGGAGAATAATATGTTGGTGGATATCTTATGTAAATAACTGGCTGTATAGAAAAAAATGCATTTTAATAATCTTTCTGACAATTATCCAGAAAAGTAAATATAGTCTTAATTTTAAGGACCAGCATGATTGGCTGCTTTAGGTTTCTTACATGCTGTCTTTTTCTGGGAGTATCAAAAGATACTCCCAGACAATCTGTTTACCATAAAATCAACATATAGGAATAATTGAACATTACAGTCAGTACAATTAATCTAGTTCATGGGTGGACTTTCCAGTCCATACTTCAAGGCACATTAAAAGTGGACCTGAGAAATGAGTCCATAGAAATCTCTTCATAATTTTTACTTGCTTAATAAGCTCATGAAGCTGCATGGCTCTAAACTCTGCAGTTGGGAGATTTACCTTTTTATTTCAGGCTTTTCAGTCATTTTCATGATGAGAAATTTTAACTCTCATTTGAAATCTGATTTAATTTACTGAATCATGTTGAGTAACAATAAAACCCTCAATATTATAATTTAAGGAAAAAATTTTAAAAAATATTTGTAAGATCTAGTGTAAATATTTTGAAGGTAGAAGTCAAACATCAAAATATCCTTTTGTGTGCCAACTCACTGAGCGTTAGGTTATTACCTAACCTGTGCTTGTGGGGGCCTGTTTTTCCCCTGTTCTTTATTTAAGAGGCTGGTATAAATTATAATATCAGTAATTTAAATTATAGGGAGCCCTCAATCTCTTCTTAAGAGAAGTTTCCAAAATATTTCTATATCTCAGAATATTATCCTTTAAATAGGTGTCTCTTAATTGTCTTTGAGAAAATATGATTAAGCTTACTTCCCAGTATAGGGAGTAGTATGTAAATCTTACCATTTTTTTTAATAAATAATAGGTCCAATCAAAGAACTTATATAATACCAATGAATTTCCAACAAAGTTTGCAACCTTTATTGCTCAAAACCAATGTACTACTTTAATTTGGAGAACATCAATGTTCTCCCAAATCTCACAACTATCCAGCAAAAAAAAAAAAAAAAAAAAGTAATTTGTAAATTTCAGCAGTGTCTTTAAATCAATCAAATTTAGTCTCGAAGGATGATTATCAAATTTGGAATCTAAGTCAGTATTTTAATATATTTAGTGTTTAATCAAAGATGTGAACTTATTTACTAAAATTAATTCTTGCTGTAACAATAAGAATCATTAGCAATAGAAACCTTCCTTAAAGGAAATACACATAACATTTTAGTAGGTCTTTATTGTGTCAAAATATGGACAAAAATCTTAACTCACATCAGCATAGGAAAATCAAGAAAATAGCCTGAAATACTCTTGAATTAGTTAAATTTTTTAGACAGTCCAGTACATATAAATCTCTTTTTCAATTGTTTTAACTTTCTATATCATCTGTCTACATAATGATATACAGATTTCCTTTTTTAGGAAAATACTTTTATCATTAAAATCCAGAATACAAAGACCTTGTTTTACCCAAAGATGATTCATTTCTTCCTCTTAGGAACTCCAATGTGTGCTTCCTCTCTGTGGAAATATCTTCTTTTCCTTTTAGAATTCTTCCTGATTTTTCTTTGGAACAGCATTTGAAAACCTTAGAATCTAACAAATTATTGTACCTTGATAAGAAGAAATATAGCAATGAAAATATAGTTAAAACCCATTGTATATTTCTGTAGACAGAATTAATTATATTTGTTTATTACCTTATAGAGCTTGTACAAATATTTGAGAGAGATTACTTGATGGTTGTATTATCTCCTGAAAGTAAACTTATAGTAAAATGCATTTATCTCAAATACCTGTAACTAAAAGGCAGAGCATGAGAGAAATGCATGTATAAGTACTATCTAAATTATGTTTTCTGTTGAAGAAAAACAATTAGATAAATATGCACTAATTAAATAATTAGACATATATGCTAATTATTTAAATGAATTAACAACTATAGGTTATCCAAATCCCTAGAAAAACATGTATTAAGAATAAGGGCATAACTTATAATTGTATTATGTTTATGCAACCACGTGGTTCTTATTATATTTGGATACATTTTAATTTTTGTTGGGTTAGTAGTGCATTGTTTTATATTTCTGCTGTAACATATTAAGATCCTTCTGTATACATTTACTTATGTCTTGTAATTATATACTCAGGAATGAGAATGAGGATCCTTTGATTATCACAGGAACATTTCCGGCTTTTATTCCTGTGAGAAGCAAATGCCTCCTCATAACCTTCAAAATTAAAAGCAAAATATAAAGAAGCATATGTATTTCTTATAAATTGTTACATTATCTCTGCAATTTTTCTTAATAATACAGAATAAAGAAAAAACTTAGTAAGTTACCTTAGAAACTTTGAAAACGGCTCAGGGATGCAATGTAGAAGCCTGAGAATTAAATTTTGCCTGAAAAAGATCTTTTGTTAGTTTTATAGATGGATATTCTTAAAAATGCAGTCTCTGTGCAGCTCCTGGTAGCAGGGATGAAACAGGAAGTACAGGTTAGTGGCTGGAAAGTGGGACCAGAAGTCCTGTCTGAGTGACTGTGAAAGGACCAATGGGAAGCTGGGAAAATACAAGAGGCAGGACCAGGAAACCAGCTTGGGCCTTCCAGGCTTCCTGTTGTTACCTTGGTGATGGAAACAGCAGGGACCAGCTGCTCATTGTCTGGGGCAAAGGCTCCCTGAGCTTCCCTAGCCACTTGCATTCCATTTGATTTGTTTGTATTTTCTGCAGCTGGGGAGGGTCCTAGGGTGGGAGGCAGCTTGCCTTGTCTCTGCTCCCTGTGCTTGCTGCAGCTGGTGTTCTCCTGTCTTTTGTATTTTCCCTTGCAGCACGTGGGACTTTAAAATGTGTTTTAACAGCAGATGCCAGTGTTACTATCAGATCTTAAGGCAGTCTGCCTTTGGCACCTAGTTCAGGTTGTTTAAGGGTTAAAAGCACTGCTGGTGGTGGGTCTAGTTACAGACCCCCATTATAGAACAGTGGCTAAAGTCTTTTGATTCTGATGTGGTAGGTCAAGAATGTAGCAAAGAGGTTCAGCATAAATTGAGTATTCACAAAAACAATAGAAAAATAAAATTCATATATCTACAGGTAAAGAATCCTTGTATAAAGTCTCATTACAAAATCTTTTTTTTTTTTTTTAAAGAGAGAGTGAGAGACAGAGAGAGAGAGAGAGAATTTTAACATTTTATTTAGTTCTCCGAGGACACAATATCTTCGTTTGTATGTGGTGTTGAGGATCGAACCCGGGCCGCACGCACACTAGGTGAGCGTGCTACCGATTGAGCCACATCCCCAGCCCCAACATTACAAAATCTTTTGTTTCTTCTTCTCACGTTCCAAAGCACAGACTTCTAGTAGATTAAACCCAAAAATATTTTACCTAATATATCAAAATATAAAGACTCATAACAACAATCAAATAAGTCCACAGAATCGCTTTTCCCATGGGAGAGGACTGAACTTAACAACATATCCCATTAGTCATCTTAATAATTCTTTATATTTATTTAGAGTTGCTATAATTGTAAAAATTATATTTTTTCTCTTTCTAAAGACAAAATATTCCCAAATGTTAAAAGTATAATGTCACAGATTTTTTTTTCTGTTTAATTCACTTTCTTTCTACAATTCAGCCCACGATGAGGTGGGCTTCCCACATCCAACTCAAGATGACTTTACAACCTGTTCTTCAGAAATCAGACTTTTACCTTGGACACCTTGACCCACCCTATCTCTAAAGTCATGAGCCATGGCACTACCATGCCAGAATACAGTAATCTTTCAGATCCCTGTGGGGCATCAGGACTTAAAGGTGCATGCATTTGGAGTGGCTCCCCACAATATCCTAAACAGGTGGTGGAATTTTTTTTCTTTTTTTTTTCTTTTTTCTTTCTTTTTTTCTTTCTTTCTTTCTTTCTTTCTTTCTTTCTTTCTTTCTTTCTTTCTTTCTTTCTTTCTTTCTTTTTTTTTTTGATAAAGCAGTCTAGCTGTGAAATACAGCCAAGAAAAGAAGGCAGCAGAAAAATTACACTACCCAGAAAGTAATTTTGAAAAGTAGGTATGGGACAGCTCTTTGACCTTACAAATCAAGCTTCCACACTGGGAAGAGAGAGCCCAAATTTGCTTTATTATATATGGAGAAACTTCAAAGATTTTCCATACAAAGTTCTTCTGCCAAATAAGGTAGAAGGGGGACTGTCCAGGTCCAATGATTCATGCTTAATTGTGAAGCTACAAGAGCAGCCCCTTCAGCCAAGGTAAGAATGAAGTCACTTGCATTGCATAATTCATGAAGTGGGAGAAGCCACAAAATGACTTGCAATGCCAAACCAATATCTCCCTGGCTCAAGGCCAAGTGAAGACACTAAATAGCTCAGGAGTGGCTTCCCACATCCACCTCAAGATGACTTTACAACCTGTTCTTCAGAAATCAGACTTCTACCATGGACAACTTGACCCACCCTATCTCTAATAGGGGACTCCAACTGCTTGTTCCAATGCCATGATGCTCCTTATAACCTATAGCAGCAAGAGTGATCCTCTTCCTTTTTCTTACAGCAGCAAGGAGTCCCTAGAATTGGATGGGGAAATAAAATAAAAAAATTCAGTCAGTATAGAGAGGTAATTGGGTCAGATCAAAAAAAAAAATGAAGACTTTGGGTCCAAAAAGTTGGAGACCACCTCTGGAGGATTAAAATGTTTCAGCCTCCAAAGCCCTTCCTCCATTCTATCAAAGATAGCATACTCCTGTTTCAACCTGTTGTTAAGTCTCCTCAACAAGTTCAACCTGAAGCTTATAAATTCCTTGGAGAGAACAAACCACAAGAGACCACTGTTTTCCAACACCCATTCTAGACAGGAGACTATGTCGACAGCACAAAGGTGTCTCCTAAAATTAAACAAACAAACAAATAAATAAATAAATAAATAAAAGAAGAAAGAAAGAAAAAAGAAAAGAGCAAATAGTCCCGGGAGGCCCCAATCACCCTCTAAATATAAAAATAAAACATGTTGCTCATGTTTTTGTCTATTACTCAGACTGTTTTATAGAGCCCTAGCTGCTAAAATAATATATTTTGTCACTCTGAAATCCAGGGAGACATAGAAAAGGCATATTATATATGCTTGGCAATTACAACCTCTTACCACATTCAGAAGGTAAATCAAGGGTTTGATTGTTTCTAGATAAAATTGAAATATTGTGGGCCAAACTTCATGTGTCTTGATCATAAAAACTCCATTCTATCTTTAGACTCCATTTCATATAAGAAATATTTGTTCCATGAGCAACCTCTGCCTCTACCACCTCCTGCCAGGCATACACTGTTTGGCAAACCATGGTGGTTAAAAAAATGTTTTTATTATACTTATACAATGTATTATCAAGAAACACAGTTGTAAGATGCTCTCTTTTAGTTGATATTTCTCATGGGAAATATAATGTACACTGAACTGGGTCATTCTGACCCACCACTACATTGTTATGGTTTTGAATTACTGGTAGTTTTCAGGTTTGGTTACAAGAGATACCCTACTTTCTGCAAGGGGTTGAGATGTGCACAGGCAATGTGGTCAGTGGCCCTTGACCAGCCAGTGAATAAATGTTCATGTCTTCCTTCAAGGTTCATCTGGTGATTGATCTAGGACATACCACAACACCAGGTTCCACTATTCACTAAATCACTACCAGAGGCCATGAGCCTCATTAGTGACCTGGGAAAGCCCTGAATTCCAGTGATACACTGGGAAAAGCTCTGAACACCAATTAGACACCAGTGAAAGCCTGAATGCCAAGAGACATTTTTGAAAGCCTTTAAATCACACAAAATTATGAGAAGCATTTGAGTATCCCTGAAATACTTTGGACAACACTGAATCATAGACAAATCCTGGAGAGAACTACTTATATACCATGGAAGGTAATGAGTCCCACTAAAGAATATGGGAAAATTGAGTTTAATTGTTGAGCAGAAAAAAAATAAGGGGAATCAGAGAAAGGTCCACAAACACATTTAGAGCTGGTGTAGCCCAAAACCCCACTGACAAGCTACTAAAGGCTTTTATTCTCACAGAAGAACTAGGGGAAAATCTAAGACCAAATCATACCTGAGACCTCAAAAAAAAAATCCTAGAAAATACTCTGAGATCTGATAAGCCATTGAAGTGAACACTGAGCTGGACTGAGACTCTGGAGAAAGCCCTGAGCTTACACTAAGAAACATGGAGTAGCCCTGAGTACCACTGACAGAGTGGGCAGGCCCTGAGCAACACTATGACAATGTGAATATCCCTGAGTTTCAATGACACACTAGGCAAGGAACTAATCCCCATTGAGACACTAGTGAAGGACAATATTTTCCAAGAAATCTGGGGAAAAAAATCTAAGCATTACTAGATATTGTGAAGCATCCTAAAACCCACTGAAAGATTAAGGTAGGTGCCAGGCCTCACTATGATACTTGGGAAGGATCTAACACTCAATTAAACACCAAAAATATCCTGAGCACCATTATGATCCTGGGAATGAAAATGAGCTTCACAGAAACAAAGGAAAAATCCCTGGGATTCAGTAAAAATGATGAAAGGCCCTGAACCCAATGTTTCCATTGGGAAGATCCAGTGTCACTCTGATGCTGGAAGAAACACTGAACACAACTGATACTCTGAGAATTGCACTGAGCCTATGGGGAAAATTTATAGATAATAATAAAAAAGGAGACACCGTGGATGGCTCTGAAATCCAGGGAGGCATAGAAAAGGCAATGAGACCTATTAAGACCCCAGGAAGGAACCTGAGCACAAGGTGATCATGGGAATGGTGCTCATCTGCACTTACACGCTGTGAAGGTCAGGGGGACCACAAAGACGCCTAGGAAGACTGTGAATACATCTGTCAACCTAAGGAAGGCCTTTAGCATTCTTAAGACTCTGAAGAAATTTTAACACCACTGAGCAAAGAGTGATTAAAAAATTGAGATATTTATTGAGGCCATCAGCACTGGGCAATAATCTGGGCACCATGAAGAACATGTGAAGGTTTCTAAACATGACTGAAATTCTGAGGAAGGCCTTGAGCCCTCCTGAGACCCTAGAATAGGTCATGAGACTCACTGAAATAAAAAAAGCAAATTAAAACAAAAGCCCCTGAGCTCCTCTGATATCAAGAAGAAGGCCCTGAGTGTCAGGTAGACAATGGGGTACACCCTGGTCATCAGTGTAACCTAGGAAAACTATAGCTTCACTGGCTGCTTGGAAAGGCAATGACACCAATATGACTGTGAAGAAGGCCCTGGGAACAACTGTGACACTGGGTATGGCAATGAACTCCACCGAGGGCCTGGAAAAAGGGCTGAGATTTACTGACACTGAACCCAGTCTACCTTTGGGGAAATATTTAAGTTGAGGTGAGATTCTGGGAATAGCACTGAACATGACTGAGACATTGCAAAATATTCTGAGAAAAACTGAGGGCCTGGTAATGGTAATGAGTTCCACTGTGGATTTGGGCAATGCTTTTGGCTCTGTGAAGATTTGGGGAACATACTAAACCACATTGAGATTTTGGGAATGTTTGAGAAATCCACAAAATTCCTGAGGAATGGAAGGAGAACACTGAGACTCTGGGAGACATCACTGAATGAATGAATTCTAAGAAACACTTTTGAAGGCCTTTAAATGACACACTTGTTAATAGCATTTGAACATTCTTGAAATACTATAGGCAGCCTTCTGTCTGACTGAGATCCAGGAGAGGATTAAAAGATCTACTGATATACTGTGGAAGGCATGGAGGCCCAGTAAAGAATAGAAGAGAGCCATGAGCTTCCTTGTTGAGTCTGAAAAGCACTGAGACACAAGGACATCCTGGGAAAGGTCCGCAAACCCACTTAGACCCTGGTGGAAGCCACAAACCCCACTGAGAAGCTATTTCAGGGATTTAGGCACACAAAGTTTTTTGGAAAAATCTGAAAATCAATTATAACTGAGAACACAAAACAAACACACAAAACACCCCTAGAGAATTCTCTGCACCCAGTAAGTCATTGGGGAAAGCACTGAGTGAGAGTTAAACTTTGAAGAAAGCCCTGAGCTTACACTCAGAAAAATGGAGTGGCCCAAATGCCACTGACATAGTGGGGAGGGAACTGAGCACAACTGTGACAATGGAAATATTTCCCTGTTACAATAACACACTGGGCAAGGCACTATTCCCCTTGGAGACACTAGTAAGAGCCGTTATGTTTCCAGAATACTGGGGAAGAGTCTAAGCACCACTATATATTGTGCAGTTTCTACACCTGCTGAAAGAGGAGGGTAGAACCTAGGCCTCACCATGACACTTAGGAATGCCCTGACACAATTAATCAAACTCTATGGAAGATGCTGAACACCACTGTGATGCTGGGATTGACACTGAGCTTTACAGAGACCTTGGGTAATGCTCTGGAATTTATTGAGAAATCCTGAATGGTCCTAAACCCAGTAGGTCCTTGGAGACCACCTAGAACATCATTCTGAGGCTGGGAGAAGCACTGAACATCACTGAAACTCTGAGACTAGCACTGAGCCTCATGGTGAACCTGTAAACACACAGGAAAGAAAAGAAGACTCTGGGGATGGCTCTGAAACTCATTGAGCCCTGGAAAATGTGATGAGACCTATTGAGACCCTCAGCAAGGCCCTGAGCACATGGTGACAATCGGAAGGTTGCTGAGCTGCAATGAGAGCCTGGGAAGGCAATGAGACCACTAACCCTCTTGGGAAGGTTGTGAATACATCTGTCAACCTAAGAATGGCTCTTAGCCTTCCAAATACATTGAGGAAAATTGTGAACATCATTGAGACACCCATGAATGAATTTGACAACTCTGTGAATCTTGTTGAGACCTTAGACTTTCTAAACACTTGGAAATAATCTGAGCACCATGAAATCCATGTGGACCTCTCAAACAAGATTGAAATTCTGGAGAACACATTGAGTCCTCCTGAAACTCTAGGGTAGGCCCTGGGTTCCACTAGCACTGGGAAAGACCCTGAACTCCTCTGATCTTGAAGAAGGCGCTCAGGATCACTAAGACTCTGAGGAAGGCCCTTAGAATCATTGTAACCTAGGAAGACTATAGCTTCACTGAGAGCCTGGAAAGAAAATGACACCACTCACACCCTGGAGAAGTTTCTGTGCACCACTGTGACCCTGGGAAATGCCCTGAGACTCAAAAAGATTCTGAACTGGCCTGAGCAACCCTGTGACCCTGGGAATAACACTGAACTCTACTGAGAACCTAGTAAAAGTGCTGAGATTTTCTGAGACCCTGGCAGAAACCCTGAACACGGTACCCTTGAGGAACTACCTAATTCCAGATGACACCCTGGGAATAGCACTTAATATGACTCAGACTCTGCAAAAGGCCCTGAGAAACACTGAGAGCCTGGTAATGGCCATGAGATCCCCAGAGGCCCTAAGCAGGGCTTCTGGCTCTTTAAAAACCTGGGGGAACATTCTGAACCACACTGAGATGCTGGGAATGTCTAAGATCACCCCTGAATACCCAAGGAAAAGAAAGAGAACAT